AGTTTCTCGTTACTCTATCGCTATTTCCATGAAAAAGGGTTCGGACGAACTACAATACTTAGTTCCATCTGTTCTAAACTTCACAGCGAAAATTAGATCGTATCTTCTTGGGAGTCGTTTCCAGAAAGTATTGGTTCGTAATAAGAAGCTGCTCGAGTGGAACTTACATCTCATGGAATACAAAGAGAATGGCATGACTAATTTTAGCTGTGAAGTTTAAAACAGATGCAATTAAGTTATGCCATTCTCTTTGTATTCCATGAGATGTAAGTTCCACTCGAGCAGCTTCTTATTACGAACCAATACTTTCTGGAAACGACTCCCAAGATGATGCGTTTGGTCTGGTTTGGTTTGTTTTGGTTTATTTGTTTAACGGCATATCAACACCTCTATGGGTTACTTAATGTTGTATTCTAAATATTTTAAACACAATTTTTTTTTAATTTTTTTTTTATCTATTTATTTATTTTTTTGGTGATAATAATTGTTCATTGATACAAACCTTATTATTTAATCCATAAGTAGGGGAGAAGAGATGGACCTATACATTTCCAAAGGTATGCACATAAGTGGATATAACGAAGCCAACGGGAATTCGAACTTGGTTCTCAGATTAACAATTCCGAGCCCTTATGCATTACACTATCCACAAATCCAAACTTACAACGCCTAGTATGCTAAGCGTTTAGATATCGAGGAACTGACCAGGCTCGTCGTTGCTTAACTTTGATGATCGTACAGAAAACGGTGTTTGAACGTGATGTGGCTGTAAGTCGATCACTACAGTATTAATTTGTTCAAGTCTATGAGTAAATGTTATCTCCCCCACAATGTAACCCTCTACCTTGAGTGGTTTTTGGGCCTTGTACAGAGTGAACATTATTATAAAAAAACTATGTAGATTCAAAGTTGATGGCTGTGTTTTTACTTAAACACTTCTTGGTTTGTTTTCTACTTATAAATAAATAAAATATTCAATTTCTACATAAATTTTACAATTTATCCTTTCATGTTATTTTATTGTTTTTCTTTCTTTCTCGTGGTCCAATTAATCCTCATAATTTCATCCCTTTTTCGATGTTTACTTATCGAATGAACAACATTTTTGGAAATCTTTTTTCGCACTTCCAGATTATCTGACTTCACAGAATACAGATCATTCTCAACTAGCAGAGCGAAAGAATTATATTAACAGTTCTTGAATGCAATACCCTGGATTTCTTCAGAATCTTACTTGACGTATATACTCGTATATAAGTCGACTTCCTGTATAGTGCGACCTTTGAATTTCTTTGTGAAAAACCTGACTTTTTCTTATAGCTGGTGTATAAGTCGACCCCAGCTTCTGTGCAATACTATTAGGCCTACCGTAATCAAATATTGCAGTACTGGGTAGCATCCTGAATATATTTCATAGCAAATAAATGGTTTTGATTCTTTTTTTATACAGTACCCCAAAATGACGAGAAGAACCACTTACCGTAAAATATCTGATACGAAGATTTAGATAAAGTACTTTTTTTTCGTTGTAACCTCTTCAACAAAATTACCTATATATAGTGCGACCTCCTATTTTTTCGTAAAAAATGGTCTTCATTCTTTTTTTATACAAAGTTACCCGAAAATGATGAGAAGAACCACTTACCGTAAAATATCTGATACGAAGATTTAAATAAAATACTTTTCTTTTCCTTGTAACCTCTTCAAAAAAATAATACCTGTCTATAGTGCGACCCCCTATTTTTTGCGTAAAAACTAATCATAAAAATTCGCACTATATCCGAATATACACAGTAATTCTTTCGATCATATTGAATATTTAAAGTTGCTAGTTATGAAATTTATTATCGTTCCTAATCTCAAACTAGCGAACCCTTCATATCTTTCAATAATGAATTCGTTGCGTTCATGAAGTTCAATCGGATATGCTCTCCTGGTCCATATGCACGTTGATCTACTGGCCAAAGTGTAACCACCTTGAATTATTTAGTGGGCCAGTTTCCCAGGCAGTAAATCTAGGGTTAAGGTCACCTCTGTAAATCCCTTGGACATACTCTAATAGGGGCCTCTAGTTGCCACTTAGACCATCCATTGTCCTCATAGTATGTTCCATGTCATCTAGAGGCCCACTGACTTTGACAAATTCTTCTTGGAGCAAATCTTGATAGTCATTTTCACACAGTTTCTCTCGTTAGCCTGTAATAGCAGTTGACCTTTTGATTGTACGATCGATATGTTTGAAAACATTTCTGAAGGGAAACTTATTCTGATGTTAGCAACCAATTGTGAAACTTTTGTTCAAGCGCCTTTTCTAGAGCCTTTTCTGGAGTCTTTTCTAGAGCTGTTACAAGGACTGCCTTAAATCGAGTATTTGTAATTTTGTTGTCCAGAGAAACGCTCTTAATGGTATCTATACTGTTGAATCCTTTTAACGAACTAATAAATTATTTCTATGCCAAAGCAATTCTCCATTTTCCTCTTCCTATTTTCTGAGTAAATGTTAAATGGTATTTTTGTCCCTTTCCTTTTCTTCAGTTTAATGTCATCGTTTTCCGCCAGGAGTGATCTGTACAATAAAGTGTATTTGTCAATTTTGTTATCAGCATCAATGCGGATAGGTTTTCGCTTTCATTCTTGTTTTTACTTGACTCTACTTCTTATTTACAGGTTATTGTGTTCCTAAAATCAATATCAAGCTGAATAAGAGATAGGACCAAAGGGAAAGTTAATTCTAGAATTGGATGAGACCATGTTGCCAATTTAGTACTGAGCTTAAATTCATAGATTAAGTAACAAGGGGAAAGCTCATCAGGACAATTACCATAAAAGTATTTATAGAAAATGCACAGGAAAACTACATTACGGCGGCAAGAAAGTCACTGGACCCCAGGCCAAGACCATTAGCATCAAGAATCTCTTAATAGAAGGATTTTCCAAGCGTAGCTTAGATGTGGCACAAGGCCGAAATTAGAGGGTACCCAGTGAGGATCGAACTCACTACTCAGTCGTAATTGTTCTAGCGAGCCAAGCTTGCTAACCATTACATCGCCTCGAGATGCCCCAAGAATCTCTAAATATATAGCTGGAGCCCCAGACCCTATACGGCAGCAATATTCAAGACACAGGCGAATGGTAGACTTATAAATGTGTGAGAGAAATTGTCTGGCACGACACAGTGAACCAACTTTCTTAGCAGCTGACCTAACAATTGATTCAATATGGTCTTTCCAGTTCATGCCAACAGAACACAAGGTAAATAGACAGCGGACCATATGTGGCAGCAATATTCGAAGCATGGACGAATAGATGATTTATAAATATGTGAGATAGATTCTGGAGTGAAAAATTGTCTAATATGATACAGGGAAACAACTTTCTTAACAGCTGACCTAGCAATTGATTCAATATAGTCTTTCCAGTTCATGTTAGTTGATAAAATAATCTCTTAAACAATATACAACGAAGAACTCATCCGAACAATTACCATGAAAGCATTTATAGAAAAGGTACAGAGAAGCAACCTTATGGCGGTGTAAAAGTGACTGAAACCGAGCCGACAGATCAGGACCAATAATATTGTTGATTCTTTGGATTTTGTCAAAGATTTCTAGATAAATAGCAGGATCAGCGTACCATATCTGATGGCAATATTCTAAGCATGTACGAAAAGTAGACTTATAGATATGTAGGATAGATTCTGGAGAGAAAAATTGTTATCAGTTGACCTAGCAATTGATTCAATATAATCTTTCCACTTCATGCCAACGGAAAACATTAGTCAGAGATGTGTAACGAGTCATTCTACTGGAGATTATTATCAGACACACACACTTTTGGGAAGAGTATGCTACAAGATCCTCAAACTAGCATCTTCAGGTTTTGAATTCAGATTTGTCCTTCTCCTAGACTGTTCGCCACCCAAGGCTATAGCACCAGCTATTTATCCATAAACTGAAAGTAAAATAGATGAATCCATACCTTTCCAAAAGGTATTAGCACGTAAGTGAATGTAATTAACTCGAATTGAATTCGGCTCTGCGATTCCTAAATAAAAGCTGCAATCCATTACTCCACCATGCCCCCTCTCTCTCTCTCTCTCTTTCTTTCTATATCTCTTTTTCTCTTTCTCTTTCTCTCTCTTTCTCTCTCTCTCTCTCTCTCTCTGTCTATCTATCCGCTCTCTTTTACGTATAAATATCATTATAGTTCTCTCTCTCTCTCTCTCTCTCTCTCTCTCTCTCTCTCTCTCTCTCTCTCTCTCTCTCTCTCACAACACAGGAATTATCGCCGGCGGAAGGGATTACATTTCTGGAGTAAGCCAACTGCCTGATTTTACGAGCCGTACACACGTTCATGTTCACTCTTTCTCTCTCTCTCTCTCTCTCTCTCTCTCTCTCACACACACACACACACACACACACACATACATACACATACAAACACTATCACTAATCCCGTACATGTCTTTCTTTTTTGTGAAAAAAAGAAAATGTACGGAATTTTTATGAATCCACAGATTTTAGAAGTTTCAGAGTATGAGAGAGCAACTTTCCACCAATACGTCTTCCGTCTCGTCCGGGTCGTTGTGCCTTCAAAGCTGGGAAAGGTCCGTTGCATGTTCAAATGTTAACGAAAGATGAAAATAAACACCGCTGCATTAAACGAACACTCGATATATTTTGTGGATGGATAGTTATATAAACAACTACTCCAGACAGTCTCTAACACGGCGCAGGAGAAGAATTTAATGTCCACGTGTCAGACCCAGGGCGACGGGATTCGCTGACGATATATTCGAGTGAATAAAATGTTAAGTGTTAAACAGTCAAGTTTTGTGTTATCATCTTATCGACACACCCCACGAGTGATTTCAGAAATACTGAACGCTTTGGTATGTATTTTGGATCATTTACTGTATTTGTTCTATATTACCTGTACGTTTGATGTTGAGTAAATTGAAACACATCTTCAGGGGGTTGTGCTTGTATTTTTCCGCGTGTTTATTGCAATAGCCACATGCTTGTAAAGATAGATAGATAGATAGATAGATAGATAGATAGATAGATAGATAGATAGATAGATAATGAACATAACGATACATACAGATCGATTAATATATTTAATGAAACTGCGATCGATAGATAGATAGATAGATAGATAGATAGATAGATAGATAGATAGATAGATAAGCATAAATACAGATATGAATAGACATGAATACTGACCTGAATAAGATAGATAGATAGATAGATAGATAGATAGATAGATAGATAGATACTGATAATATATAGATAGATAAAGATAAATAGATAGATAGATGAATAGATATAGATATAAATACAGATATGAATAGACATGAATACTGACATGAATAAGATAGATAGATAGATAGATAGATAGATAGATAGATAGATAGATAGATAGATAGATAGATAGATATGGATTGTAACGATATGAATGTGATACATAGATAGATAGATAGATAGATAGATAGATAGATAGATAGATAGATATGGATTGTAACGATATGAATGTGATACATAGATAGATAGATAGATAGATAGATAGATAGATAGATAGATATGAACTGTTAACATATCAACGAGATAGATAAATAGATCGATAGATAGAAGCATGTGCGTGCATTCTTTAATCTTAAAAGCAAGAGTTTTCTTTGCCCTGTTTGTTACTTTATTCCTCATTTATAAAAAAAAAATATTTTGGCTTTGATTTATTAAAAGAAAAACATCATTTCTAGCTAAGTATAGACTTGGTCTTTTCACCTTTAATTACTTACTAGTCTATTCTCGCTGTCTGGTGTTATCTTCAAAGGACTTATCTCGGCTTTGCATTGCGTGATTTCAAATTCCACTTTCTCAGAAGTTTCTCACGAAATTCGTTCACTGATTCTATCCTGCGTCTCATTTAAACCAAAATGTCTTCCGTCCCATTAACGACTTAAGTGCGCATGCGTACACAGTCATTACCTGTCAGGAATGGTTCAATGTTTATGACCCGAAACTGAATGCAACGAGGTCCGAGCTTTTTTACTTTTAACTATATATCAACTTAAAAACAAAAGGTGTAAATAAAATTAAAAATGTTTATTAATTACAGTAAATGATCAAGATATATTTGAGACATTTACCTACAGCTAAATGACACGTATCAAAGAGATTCTGTTCTCTAGCAGCCAGTACTCAGCTCGTAACTTCAACTCTGAAGAAACAATGTGAGTACGGAGAGAGAGCGAATTTAGTGAATACACAAAAATAGAAAGAGGAATAATACAATGATGCTTTTTTCTCCCCGGATTTATGAAGTAGACAGACTATATTCTGACATGAAGTGGAACTACTCTATTGAATCCATTGCTAGGTCAGCTGCTAAGAAAGTTGTTTCACTGTGTTGTGTTAGACAAATTTTCTCTCCAGAATCTATCTTACATATCTATAAGTCTACCATTCGTCCATGCCTAGAACTCCGCTGCCACAAATAGCCTGGCGCTACTGCTGTCTATCGAGAGCTCTTTGATAAGATGCAAAGAAAAATCAGCAATATTATTGGACCCGATCTGGCACCTCGGCTTCACTCACTTTCGCACCACCCATAAGGTTACCTCCCGTTACCTTTTCTATAAATACTTTCATGGTAATTGTTCAGAGAACTTTCCGCTATGGTACTTAGACACTTCGAACTTAAGCACAATACTAGATTAGCGACGAGGCGTCACCAATATGCAGTGGAGCTGGCGAAAGGTAACCGTTAATTCTATGCTAACAGTTTATTTTCTCACGCTTCTCGCTTGTGGAACTCCCTTCCGACCGGCTCTATGCTTTCCAGCCAACTGTAATCTGCAAAAATTTAAATGCAATGTCAGTTGCAATCTAATGACTCTTTGTCTTCATTTCTTACCGCTCCTTAGCAATGTTTCTGTTTTTAAGTCTTCTACACCCAGTAATCCCTTGTGTTTCTGTGGGTTTACTGCCTTGCTTGGGGTGAACTCGATTAATAGACACACACACACACACACACACACACACACACACACATATATATATATATATATATATATATATATATATATATATATATATATGATGTAATATCTCTTGATAATTAGTAGAGTTAATTCCAAGGAGGATATAAATCCAAAGAGCTCAATGTAAGAACAGAACAATATAATAATGAATGCAGAATCCTTAAAATCTATCTAGGTGATCTTTTATTTCGTGGACTCAGAAAATTTTGTAAGATATGGTCTGAAGAAACGGACTTCCGAGTTCACGAAATAAAATATCACCTGAATGGATTTTTAAGGTTTCTATTCATTATATATATATATATATATATATATATATATATATATATATATATATATATATATGTTTTGAAACAGTACAGAAACGTATTATTGCATAAAACGCAAGAAATTTTATATATTATAGGCCATCATAGATTTAAAATAAAAACAAAAACACACACCAGTCGACCGGTTTCGTCCCCTCTCATCAGAACTGTTAACGGGGAACACAAATTATGAAGAGAAAAAAAAAAAATAAGTCTGTCATGGATGATGTGAATGAATGGACAGGGAGAAGAAAAAAAATATAATTATAAAAAGATGCTAGAAGCGCAGCACAGCAAGTCCAAGCAAACAATCTCTTTGTTTATAAAGAGTAGGTCGCCTGGACCTGATGTACAGCGTCTCCAACACCTTAAGATGGAATAATGAGTGTGCTCTGGCCAAAACGGAAAACCAGTTCACACTGAAATCCATCGCACAAGTGGGATTCTTTATAAAGTGATCCGAAATCGAAGAACCATACGTGTTACGAATGGTATCGCCCAACGAAAATTTTTTATTAAGTATTATAGCAGGAACTAAGTCAAAGACTAAGGCAAATGAAATATGTTTTCTTTAACTTGGATATATATATTTTCTTTAACTTGAAATATTTTATCTACCAATCTCCAACATGGTGGACCATTTCTTCTTCTTTATGTGATATAGACAGTCATGGCTCTCCACAACTTCCTGTTCCTTGTAGCTCTTAAAATATTTTGTTTTTCTGTTATTTCTCCTAAATCCTGCTCCACCATCCATTTACTCAAGCTCACACGTGATGCGCTGTTTTCCTCTGTCTATCTTGCTTTCAATCTGTCCTGTGACTATCAAATTCTAAGCCCCCCCTTCCTCATTTTGTGCCCTAGAAACCTCAACTGTCTCTTCCTGATGTTAAGTATAAGTTTTCTGTTTGTTTCCATTTTCTCAAAAATTTTGTCGGGAACCCTACCCTAAACAGGATACAATGAATAAACATCGACTCTTGTTTAAAAGGCCGGGGAGGAGTGTAAACCGGACGATAGGCTAACCTAAGTAAATGGATATAAAATTGTGTAACAAAGATGGTGATTGATTCATTCGTTTTTTACAGGTTATTGCAGGTTATTTAAAGTCAGAATCTTTTTTTAAACAGTAAGAATATCTTTGGCGATAATAATGGTTTAGCGATACAAATTTTCCTAATTAACCCATAGCTGGGGGAAAAGAGGTGGATTCATACCTTTGCCGAAGAGTATTTGCCCGTAAGTGAATATAACGAACCTAACGGGAATTGGAACTCGGCTCTCCGGTAAACAATTCCGAGAAATTATCTATTACACCATCCGCACATCCAAGCTTACAGCACCTGGTATTCCCAAGTGGTCACCCATCTAAGTAATTGCTAGGCTCGACGTTGCTTAACTTCAGTGATTGTACGGGAACCGGTGTTTCAACGTAATATGGCAGTAAGCCGACTAATGTTCAGCATATCATGGATAGAAAAAGTGAGTAATAAAGATAGCTTAAGGAAAATAAGAACTACAAGGAAACTTAGAGCCAAAATCAAGAATAGAAATTCCAAATGAGGAAAGAATAGCAGGAGAATTTAACACTCACAGGGTATTTGTAAATAAAAGAAGCGGGAAGAACGTGCGAGAAACCTAATGATAAGATTGTGTGAATGGATGGCAAAAACAGACAACAGAGCCCTAAAAAGGAAGCTGTAGAGAGCAATAACCGTCTTGACATAAAAAGTGTTCAGTATACGTTAATGAATACGCAATAAATAAATTTCTATAAGTTTACATGAATGTAGCAATTTCTAAAGAACTGGTGAATCTAATGGTATTACCAAACGGTCACCCATCAAAGTACTGACCAGTCTTGATATTGCTTAACTTTGTTGATCGTACAGGAACCGAGGTTTCAACTTTTTATCATCACCGAGCCGCCTTTACATTCTCACTAGTAAAGAGAGGTAACTGGTGGAATACATCTGAACATTTGCCATGGAAATAGCGATGTAGTAACGGTAGGCTTGCGACTTTTTGTCTGTGGGGAAAGAGAAAAAAGGTCATCCCCACCAGACCACGTAAATTATTTTGAACTCTATCCAGGCTGGAAAGTGAGGATAAAACAACTCTACCCCGTGATAGTTCAACCTGTTCCATAACCACCCCCATTCCAACTTTGAACGGAAATTCAGTTATAAATATACGATTAACATTGAAATGTTGTGGTGTCTCTTTTATAATATATATAAAAATGATTTTCTCAAGTACTTATTTTGATTGGGCCGGGGAATATAGAAAAACTTGACACGCAAGATGTATACTCAGATCACAGGCCTCTCAGCTGCCCTAATCTCTGGCCTCAATCTATAAGTGTCAGTTCTTAGGGACCCGAAAACAAGAATAAAGACTGCCGTGCGTATAACGCAACCAATTGGCTGTCAGGACGAACATGTCTATTATAAATTCATCCATCATCAAGACGCATGCGCAATGACATTACTCAAGCCAATACTTTTGTCCAAGCGTGAACTCATGATACGGTAAATATGTGTCGCCTTTAAGACTAATAAAGAAACCTCATTCGATAAAACAAATATAAAAAAAAATCTTGAAACCCGAAGTTATCAAATGTTAAATGACTAAGCCTTGGTAGCAGGATAACCCCTTCAGGAAAAAGACTATAATTTTATAAACCTATCAATCTTATTGGCATCTGGAAGGAGAGATGAAGCGGACAAAAACAAGAACATCCACGTGTGTAATATATAATAATAAACTTGCTGAAAGGGGTTGCCTCGTATTTGACAGAGATCTGCTGTTCCCACTAGCGTTCGTAGTCAGCATTCAAACGACGATTAAAAACAAAAAAGACAGAAATTCGAAACTTACCGTATGTCATATAAACCCCATCCTTTTTTCGGAAGCCCCAAAATGACTAAAAACTCCCCCCACTCTCACACCGGGTTTTATATGCAAAATTTATACAACTGATATCTGATGTATCATGATTACGCAGACATTATAAATAGTGGAAGACTTTCGTCCCGTTAAAAATCCTGTAACCCCTTGAAGTCTTGGAAAAACTATATGTTCTGCAGCCATAACAGCAGTGGCTTAGGATAAGATAGTCTGACTATAGCCATCCTTTTTCAGACTGTGTTTTTGAACTCATATCTTTCCTTCTACCATAGTTTCTATTTCAAGGCAATTTAACCCATAGCTGGCCTGGGTGAAAAGAAATGAATCCATACCATTGTCGACGGTATCTGTGCGAAAGTGAAGGCAACGAGGACACGGTCGGGATTCGAACTCGGCTCGCTAATTTCTTTTTCCATGTTGCTATACCACCTGTACACCCAAAGCGGAAGGTCTTAAATGCTATCAAATCCGCAAGATCTTAGAAGTGGCACATTGATCCTCTATGCGGAAAGTTTGACGTAACACAATCTTCCTTTTTCTTGTCCCCACAAAAAGGAAAGCGCACCTTAAATCAAAGTGAGGTATGATTCTAAAAAGAGGCTATATTTTCTTCTAATAACGCTTATTCACTCGTACGAAAAACTAACACTCAGTCACGTGACATTGCTCAAATGATATTTTCATAGTAATACAAGGCTCGTGAGCCATTTATATTATGAGAGTGTGTTTTAACAATGGTAGAGAAAAAGAGATATATCTTACTTTCGAAGTTTAGTGTTTTATATATATATATATATATATATATATATATATATATATATATAATATAAAGGGATTTTTTTCTTTTCTTTTTTTCAGAAATTTTTATATATATGAAGGAGGTAGTAATAAACCGTTCTCAGTGTGAATTTGACAACATTTGTTTCCCATGAATGTATTTGAGCAATACTATGACAAAAGACATCTTCTGATCAACTGAGACGGGGCACCTGTCTTCAATGTGCTACTCATTCATACCGACTTCGGATTGACTCATCAAATCGAACAATTCCAACGTCACTGTCAACGTCGCTGTCAATAAATTTATACACATGAAGCCTGTACAGAAGAGAAATATGAATTAAAATGGACGTAGAAGTAAGAGTAGCTATCTAACGTGTACATGCATCTTTCTTCTTCTTCTTCTTCTTCTTCTACTACTACTACTACTATCAGGGCTCTTAATAAATTTTGTTTTTTGTTATCTCTCCTAAACCTTGTTCCGTCGCTAGGAAAGTAATGCGTTGTTTTCCTCTGTCTCTATTGACAATCAGTGAGTATCAAATTTTCCAAGCTCTCTTTCCTCATTATGTGCCCTAGAAATGTCAACTGTCTCTTCCTGGTGTTAAATATAAGCGTCGTTTATGTTGCCATTGTCTCTAGAACTTCGTCGTCGCTCACATTTTCGGTCTCAGCATCTTTCCATAAAACCAAATTACAATTTCTTTAAGTCCCTTCTTTCTCTATTTGTCCAGAATTTACAGCCATATATTAACTGATAGTCATCTTTTTTTTCTGTTACAAAAAAAAGCATTAGCTACTATATATGAGCGTAAAAAGAATATGACCTTAATTCCGCGTGTTTATTCGCATGTGTTTATCGCTTATCTAAGTACATTTTCACTGACACTGCACTTTCAAATTAAATGTAAATATTTGCAGTGAAATTGAAATTTAAACTCCACACTCTATTCAATAGAGTCAATTGTGTGATGATTCAAATGAAAAAAGCCTGAGTGCCAACACATTACTGTCTGTCGCTTGATGACGCTTTGAAGAGATTCTTTATAATTTAAGTATTAACAGACCTTTATAAACCTAACGTAAATAAACAAATATGATACAATATGTTTGATAATATTAGCCTCTCACAAGAAAGTTTGCTTAAGTATATAAAGTCATGAAGATAATCTTACAAACGTATTTTTCTCTTTTACTTGGAATTTATTTCTAGTGGCTCAAACACTAATGTCTCCATTAGCTTGAAAACTGTTATATAGGAATAAAGTGCCTGTGCCGACACTTGAGTTTGAACATAGATCGCCAGTGAGTAAATCCCAATATTGAATTAAGTAGACCACGTGACCACAGAGGAAACGGGTACATGGGGGTAGCGTGTGTCTAATTGATCGTTGTTTCTCTTCTATCTTCTATTACTGTTCGAATCACTATTTCTATTCTATCCTCTATTGCTATGCTGTTCGTGACTTTCTTCTTTACGCTATTCACTATACTATTTCTCTATACTGATTTCTATTCGCTGGTTACTATTCGAGCGAGTGTTATCGAGCAAGTACTATTAGTGCGAGTGTTATTCGAAGGCGTCTGACACCAGTATTGTTCAACGGCGTTACTATAGTTGTATCTGCGGTTACAAAGTCTCTACTACAACGAGCTTTACGAAAGTGACTTCGAGTATTTGCTGGCATTACAAAAGTGTAAAAGAGTTTGTTGACATCACAAAAAAAAACCCTTTCCATCCCCTTATTCAGCTACGAACTATGTATACCTAAGACCTTCAACGTCCCATTCCGATCTTCTTTTATATACAGTGTCCCCACAAGATGTGGGTGATCATGACTCTCCACCACTTCCTACCTTTCGTAACTCTACGTAATGCTTGTTCCCAAACCCTGATCTGCCATCAATTTACAACAAAAACTCATTAGGTAGATTATTCACGGTTTTTCTCTGTCCTTCTTGCATTTATTATATCCTGTGAGTGTTAGATTTTCCAATCCTACTTTCCTCATTATGATCCCGAGAATTTCCAACTGTCTCTTTCTGATGCTAAGTAATAAGTGCCCTTTTTATTTCCATTTTCCTTTTGTATTTTTCTGATAATCCCTTCATATAGGGTAGGCAGACCAAGGGTGTTTTCTACGCATTGTTATCCTCTTGTACCCTTCTATCCCAGTTTGTGGGGGCTGCTGCCATGTACCCGGAGTAGCTTTTACGCTGTAGGATATACATATATATGTAGGTTACGTATATCACCTGAAGAAGACAGGAGCGTACAACGGCTGAAACATCGTGAATATGACAATGAAGATGATGACAACAGTCCGATCAATGTACATTGTGTAAATCAGGGGTGACCAACCTTTTGATTCCATGCGCCAATATTTTGTACGATTAATTTAAATGCGCCACACAAACATTTACTTCCTTTCAGTACGTGTTGTAATATGGACATATTTTAAATGTATAATAAAATCTATTTATTTGAAAAAATATATGCTTATGACCAGGGGCGAATCCAGGAGTTTTGAAAGGTGGGGGCATCAATCAATCCTTTGACTTTTTTTTTCTCTTCAGATTTTGCAGAGGGGGGGTCATGGCAGCGTTTATAATGTTTCCATAGGCAAAATAAACATAAATAACTTTAATGTGTCTTTTGATTCTGCTTTGTTTTTGCCAAACCAGCAATATTAGGAGTTAAATTCGTAACTGAAAGCAACAAATAATTCAAGTTAGAATCGGACAGTCGCGACCTTTTCATCAAAAGGATGCAATGCGCCACTTGTAAGCATCCAATGCGCCACTTATGGCGCATGCGCCCCAGGTTGGCCATCCTTGGTGTAAATAGTTACAATATCTCATCTTAGAAATATAGACAGCTCCTGAATTAGGTCGGAGCGTACAACGGTCGAAAGGTTGTGAATATGACAATGAAGATGAAAACACCAGTCCGAACAATGTAAATTGTGTAAATAGTTACAATACCTCATCTCAGAAATATAGACACATCTCAAACGGTAATATCTAGAAGTAGATAAACCTGTAAGCATGTTCTCACTGCGATCAGATATTATCATAGCGAACATTAGTTAAAAACACACACAATTGGACTGTTACAAAAACGAATATCTTTAACGGGGCGCTTTCGCTGATATAATGGTGACGAGTTTCTTTTTCATGTCTTGATATTTCGGAGCAATCCTCAAAAACGCTGGGTTTTAAATAACTCATTTCATGAAAGTAATATGCTATGCTTCGCTTAGCCTAATAAATATCCACCTATATGCGCTCACCTGCTTGTAACAAGCGCGTGGCTGAGTAGCTAGAATGCTCACTTTTCGACCATAAGACCGGGTTAGAATGTCACGATTGTCAATTTGTCAGGATACCTGTCTTAGTAGCAAGACCCAACGAAGTAACTCTGGCAACTTCCGTTGAATAGAACCTTCATTCACTGGTTAACTTGCGCTAGAAATTTTAACGCCTCCCAAACAAAACTGCTTTCATTTAATCAACACAGCGGACCTTTTTCTGCCTGCATGGCTGAAGCTGAACTCCAGGGAAGAAACAGTCTATGCCTTCTTAGTCTCAGGTTTTATACTGACATGAATTACGGTGACTTATATCGAGTCAATTGCTACGTAGGTTTGTTTACTGTGCCGTGCCAAATAATTTGTCCCTTCGCAACCCATCTTGCACATTTATAAAATTTACCATTCGTCCATGCATTGAATACTGTTGCCATATCTGGTCTGGTGCTCCTGCTGTACAGCTTGAGATTTTTGACAAAATTTAATGAAGAATTTGTAATATAATCAATCCTGATCAGGGTTCTTGACTTTCTTACCGAGGTAACTTGACTTCATTTTGTTTTTGTTTTTGTTTTTTTTGTTTGTTTTTTTTTTCATAGCAGCTGTTCTGATGATCTTTTTTTGCCTGGCGGGCCGGCTAGATGAATTTAAACGCGCAACAAGATCTCACCGTTCGTTCTACTGTTGAACTAACTAAATGCAACCGCCACTTCTAGTGTAACAGTTTGGTTTCTTGCACTTCTCACCTGTGGAAATCCCTTCCGATTTCTTGCTTCCCTGATAACTACAATCTTCAAAAACTTAAATGCAACATCAATGGCAATCTTCTGTCTTCTTGAACCCTGTTTCTTTTTTGTCCTTTCTTCAATACTTCTCACTAAAGTCTTCCCATTTCCCCTTCAATCTCGGTCACCATCTGTGTTCTAGCGGGATTTTTGCCTTACTTGTGGGGAGGAGATTAAAAGGTTAGCTGACTTGTTACGAAGAAGATACATCATTGTTATACGACCTTTCTATTATTTTTTTTTTTTTTTTTTGTATATACAGAATTCATTTTCTAACCGTATGCAGACGGTTTGCTCCCAATATAAGTTCTGGATTATTCTAATATCTTACCCAAATAAATAAAGCTCACCTAACAGTTCAAATAGTTCTTTGTGTCAACTTCAGGAGGTTTCACCTGTAACAATTTGCATTTTACATTTCTCTTCAGAGCTCTGTAAATAGTAGCGCCTACCAAGGAGACTACATTAATTGTTTCGATGTAGGCTAATGGTTAACGAGCTAGATTACTTAAACATTACAACTGAATAGGGTGCCACCATATTTGTGGGTTTTACGCTACCGTAGTAAATGAGGTGTAGGTGTCCATTTTATCACCTTTTCGCCGTTTATGCTAGCAGTTGCCGGATAACAGTCAGGTGACACCTGTTGCACACGTCGGTCCTTATCGGGCGAGGAGTTAATTCCCATAGACTTAACCCCCCACACACTTTACGCCGTTAGGTTTCATAATGTGTGTGTGTGTGTGTTATTTGCCATGATATTTCTTGGAATTAATAGCGCGGTGGTTTGCACAAGAACTTTCTTTTCTGGACAAAGAGTGTGTAAAAACTGTCCAAATGTTTTAGATTTCCGAGCGCTTTCGGTTATACCTTTAGCCATTATCAAGGATGATTTGATTTTTCAGCTTAATTGAGCATTATGTGTATATCTTAGTGTGTAATAGGAATGTTATTTTATTATTAAATCTTCCATTATTTTTAATCTTTTTTTACAGGTGGATGAAGTTATTATATTTGTGTTTTCTACTAGTATGTTCGTAATGGAGTCTGGTAAGTTTGTGTGTGTATTCAAATCGGTTCCAATGGAGCTGTGATCAGATATGTGTAACGTAAGGCGTCTGGATAAGCATGTAGTTGTGTAACCAATGTCATTATCCCACCCATACAATCTGTTTGCGAGTAAAAGGTTTGTGGCTCAGAGTTAGTAAGGAGGCTGTAGATCGGTATGGTGGGAGAATAGAATAAAATGATTTACTTTTAACTTAATATAAGTTCGTTTACCCAACATTAAAACAATACGCGATTGAAACTAACACTTTTAAACTAGCAGGTTCAACACACACACACACCAAAAAAATACATTCCAAAAAACATCATGGCCCTATACGGCTCCTTTAGTGGTCAGCTTGTTTAGCGACCAGGAACGGAACCAGGTCGTTAAGGAAGAAGTGGTTGCGCTGATTTTTCTAAGTAGGCTTGTTTTCCTCAGTTGGAGATTTGACGCAGCATACTCTTCGTATCACCTATTTCCTACTTGTGTTTTACTAAATTTAATGCAGTAAATATTGTTAATTGAACACCTGAGATTCACATAAGTATCTTTTCATGGGCGTTTACAAATGCCGTCATATGACCACAGTTCCATTTCAATTCGCGCTAAAATCGCGAAACAAACTGTCCTCTTTTGCGAAACACTCGTTAAGTCGGAGCCACCTTCAAATATTTGGGAGTAATTTAGTTCTGCTGGTGGTTGAAAAAATGTGGGAGCGCTCGAGAACTCACCAGTAATAATATTCATTGAAAGTTGATGCACGTTACGATCCGCCATTTTTGTATATGTGCGTCCCATTGGTTGGGAAGAGCATGGGTTTATTATGATAGATTGGCAAACAGCCGCTGACGTCAAAATCGGACACCCTGATTTGGCGCTAAAAAGTATGATTGATTATTTTACATCAGGATAGACCTCATCTTTACAGATAAAAGACTTATCATTGCTTGTTATTTTTCGTGTATCTTCATTTTCTCAGATTGTATTTTTCTTGCTTCTTCTTTCTTTCTATTTTCTTTCTCTTTTCTTTTCTTCTTTCTTTCTTTTCTTTTTTCCTTTCTCTTTCTTTCTCTTCTTTCTTTTCTTTTTCTTTTTTCTATTTTCCTTTTCTTTCTTTCTATTTTTCTTTTTCCTTTTCTTTCTTCTTTCTTCTTTTTTCCTTTTTCCTTTCTTTTTCTTTCTTTTTTCTTTCTATTTTCCTTTCTCTTTTCTTTCTTCTTTCTTTCTATTTTCCTTTTCTCTTTTCTTTCTTCTTTCTTTCTATTTTCCTTTCTCTTTTCTTTCTTCTTTCTTTCTATTTTCCTTTTCTCTTTTCTTTCTTCTTTCTTTCTATTTGTCTCCTTTCTGTCGGTTTTTCATTATATATTTCTGTCTAGTTTTCTTTATCCGTTATTTCTTCTTTATTTTTTCTTCCTTTCTGTTTATCTTTCCTATTTCTTTCTCCTTTCTTTTTCCTTTATTTCTCCTTTATTTCTTCTTTCTTCCTATTTGTCTTTCTTCTTTCTTTCCTATTTCTTCCTATTTCTCTTTCTTTCTACATTCCGTTTTTTTTATTCAATTTCTTTCTCCTTTCTTTTTCCTTTATTTCTTCTTTCTTTCCGTTTTTCTTTCCTATTTCTTCCTATTTTTCTTTTTCCTTTCTTTCTATTTGTCTTTCTTCTTACATTCCGTTTTTCTTTCTTATTTCTTTCTCCTTTCTTTTTTCTTCTTATTTGTCTTCCTTCTTTCTTTCTGTGTTTCTTCCTTAGTTTTTCTCTTTTCTTTCTAGTTGTATTTCTTCTTTCTTGCTGTTTTTCTTTCTTATTTCTTTCTATTTTTCTTTCTTTTTTTTCTTATATTCACTTATTGTTTACTTTCATTTTTTTTTTTTTTTGTCCTTTAGTTTTTGTCTTTCTTCTTATTTTTCCTTTTCTGTCTAAATGTTTCGGATGAAGAGTTAATCCTTATTACATTATTTACATCTGTTGTCCTCATCCTTATTTTTGTTATCACAAAGTTTCATCCGATTTGCCCTCTGGCCTTCATCAGGTGTATATCGATCTGGTTAATCAACAGGGAATTCTGAATTGAATCCTTTATTTAATCTCCAGGGTAGATTGTTCACGTTCCATGTCTAGGGATATCTCGGTCAGTTCTCCGTTATTGCTCGCCTCGTCTCTGCTGCGTACACACTGGCCGTCACCAAATTGTCACCAAATTCACAAACCAACGCTTTAACCTGATATGGTTTTCTCCCACGAAGTCATACTGAATTTTATTTAAACTGATGATCACGCCATATTAAGCGCTTTCTCCCAGAAACATAGATTTGTCTTCTTTTTTTTTGTTTTGTTTTTTTTGTTTTTTTTTTCTTTTCATCAAGTCACGACAAAAAGAAAAGAAAATATTTTAAGCAAATTCAAGGATTTCTCTCAAACAAAAAGCGTCAGGCAGTAAATAGTGCGATTGATGAGAGAAAAGCTAAAAGCAAATATATTTACTAGAGAGGGACTAAGGAAAGAGAGAGAGGTGGGCGGGAAATAAAACTAAGAAGAGGAGAAAAGAAAGAGTGAAAGAAATAAACAAACGACGGAAACAAACAAACCAAGATGGAGTTTTAAAAAGAAAAACGCTGAAACCCATAAATGGCATTAAAATTAGAAATAAAAAAAAAACATAAATAAAATTGCATAAAAACAGAATTAAGAATTCCTGACACATAAAAAGAGTTTTGAAGACATATTTTATCTTACTGTTAACAAATATATATGAATTATCATATTTTATTTCTGTTTCTTACTCAGTACATTAGTATATACATATCAAGGCTGGCGTATGGTTTTAAGGAGAAATAAAAAACAAGACTACATAATAAGAAAGAAAGAAAGAAAGAAAGAAAGAAAGAAAGAAAGAAAGAAAGAAAGAAAGAAAGAAAGAAAAGAGAAAAAGAAAAAGAGCGAGAAAGAAAGAAAGAAAGTCAGCAAGAAAAAGAAAGAAAGAAAGAAAGCTAGAAAGAAAAAAGAAAGAAAGAAAGAAAGAAAGAAAAGAAAGTGAGAATGAAAGTGAGAAAGAAAGAAAGAAAGAAAGAAAGAAAGAAAAGAAAGAAAGAAAGAAAGAAAGAAAGAAGGAAAGAAAGAAAGCGAGAAAAAGAAAAATGCGAGAAAGAAAGAAAGAAAGAAAGAAAGAAAGAAAGAAAAAAAAGAAAGTCAGCGAGAAAAAGAAAGTAAGAAAGAAAGAAAGAAAGTAAGAAAAAAGCTAGAAAGAAAGAAAGCAAGAAAGAAAGGATGCACACATAAGTAATTTTTTAATGGATATTTAATCCGACATTATCTCTTGTTGTTATAAACGTTATTTTAGTGTGAACACGGGTTTGTATTGCTGTCTCCTTTTTTTCTTAAATAGTGAAATTAAAAACAACCAACGTATGTAGAGTTGTCATAAGCTTCTATCTCCAACGGTAATCGAACCTATATAACCTTATCATCCACGAACCGGCTCCTATAAACGAAACAGGCCTGTACCAATTTGACCACGTCAGACGTCGAGCAAAGTTTGAAAATAGCATAAAATAATATAATAATAATATATCTATATAAAGATATAAGTGTCAGTCTAAACCAAATAATTAGATATTAGTAAATATATACGCGTGCGTTAGCGTGCATAGATAGATAAGCGAATAAATATTTACTTAATTTAAGATAAGGTGTGAACAAAACAGTCCTCAGTGTGGTTAGACAGAGCTAAGAAATATATATATATATATATATATATATATATATATATATATATATATATATACTTTTGTAGTGCAACTGAAAGTTTCATAGTTTTCCAAGTCGTCGGGCAAGAACTGGTGAATGAAATACTTATTAGGGTTGTTTTTTGGTTTTTGTTTTTAAATACTATGTCTCATTGGAGGGACGCTAAATTAAACGCAGATCCAAAGCTCAAAGTTAATATAATCTGGGGTAAAAATTCAGAACGTAGGGTGTAGGTAGGAGGATATTGGAAAAGAAAAACAAAGATGCAAGCTTAAAGTTTAAATAAGAAAAGAGGGACGTCGTATAGCTTGTTATGCATTGATAGAGGCTTAAATAGTTAAAGACAGGTAATCAATATGTAACCTAAAATATGTAATGTACATGTGATTTTTGGATAAATGATCTATACAGAATTAAAATAATTTAGGAGAGGTTTTTTTTTCTGTGATTACAAGCTATCATAAGTTCATTCCGTTTGTTAAATAGATTTTGGTCATTAATATTTTTGAGGATGAATCTTTTTTCAATCAAACATCTATATATATATATATATATATATATATATATATATATATAAAGAAATATAATTTTAACGTGTGCTATATTTATGGGATAAAGTGCTCAATATCAGAGATAGAGCGTGTGTAAATATAAAAGTGAACATTGACAGGGTGTTTCATGCTAGTAGCAATCGTCAGGCCACGAGTGCTGTTTTCTTTCCTCTCGGCTATTTATATATACGGGTCAGTGGTGCATTGTGGGTAGTCTATTTTGGCGGTTATTTTGCCGGAAGGCGTTTATTTATTTATTCTTGAGGATAAATCTTTTTTCCATCAAACATCTCTCTCTCTCTCTCTCTATATATATATATATATATATATATATATATATATAATGGAAGTGTCCACTATAATAACATTTTAGGTAATAAAGATGTCGGATTATATCCATTAATTCTTTAGAAGTTATTTTGTTTAGGTTACGAATACAAAGGTGAGCAGATATGAGCTTTCAAGAAAAATATTCTGAGCGAATAAAACAGAAAATATTACCTTGCTTACCGTGACTTTCTTCGATGCCGAGCGGTAAAATGACCCATATAAAATGGGGGTTTCCTCTACAAAGAAGGACGCACGTTTGTTCCCTGCCATAGAACATTTTTTTACTAGGATTTCTCGAATGCGTCGGAGATAGATGGAGCCACGTTGGAGTAATGTATAGCGGAGCAGTTCGGATTGAGGTATCGGAGAGCCGAGTTCGAACTCCAACCGAGTTCATTCCATTCACTTATGTGCTAAAGTATGAATTCATCTTTTCTCACAACACCCAGCTATCCGTTGACCCAGACGTCATCGGTGAAATTCCCATAGCTTCGATCTAAAAGCAACCATCTTAATGCGAGTACACATTCTTATTGATCGGGTTATTATGGGTAAATAACAGGACAGACTGGGTCCTACAGCGTTGAGAGGCGAACGGTCTCGAAGAAAGACAACTGAATTCAAAACCTGCGTAGAGGCGTTTGGGGATCTTGTGGGATACTATGCAGCAATTCTCTATATTCGGCTCTATCCAAAAGTTCTGACCAAACCTTCACAACTATATCAAACATGTGCAGGTAGTCTGGCTGTTGGCTCTAAGAACTGCGACAGGAGAGTCCAGTTATATATATATATATATATATATATATATATATATATATATATATATATATATATATATATCGAAATAAAAGTGTAAAATTTAATATTACAAGACATATTAAAACAATATTAAATAATAAAAAAAAAAAAATATCAACAACAAGGTGGGGGAAGCAACCGGTTATATATATATATATATGTATGTATGTATGTATTATGAAATGGACAAAGTCCGACAATTATTTTAAGACATTTTTATGTTTATATATTCTTTTTATAATTACAAATATTTAAGTAAATGCTCTGTTTATAATAAATAGCCTGATGTGCCTTAACCGATTGAGCCACAGAGGATCATTCGGTTAGCAAAGTCGATTTTACTGTGGCTCAATCGGTTAAGGCTATATGACGGTTCCATATAGGATACAGGTTCGATTCCTGTCGGAGGACGAATATTTTCTATGAAACTTTCCCGGACATTCAGGCCGGTAAATGTTGTTTAATACTGTTTATTATAAACAGAGCATTTACTTAAATATTTGTATCTATAAAAAGAATGTATAAACATAAAAATCTTATATATATATATATATATATATATATACATAACGACACGCAGATCGCAAGCAAAAATTAAGTTGTCAGTTACTCTAGCAAAAACCTTTGATATTTCTACCAATATCCACTATTGAAAACTATCAGACCATAAACAGCTTCAAACGTAAGTTGAACGAATTCTGTCCCAATAATCATAAAGCATTATCGATCGAGTTATCCGTTGACCTAGACATCATCCGTGAAATTCCCATAGCTTCGATCTAAAACCAATCATCTTAATGCGAATACACGTTCTTATCGATCGGGTCATCATGTTATGAAAATATCTGAAAACATTAAGCATGATGTGCCAATGACAGTAATGTCACTGAACCTCACTAAGCAGATCCGTTCATTAAAACTCATAATCACGATGCTACATGCCTCAACTGAGGCATAATAGAATCATGAATGTTTGACATATTCATTCCAGTTGACCAAAAGTTTTTTGGTGTTGTTTTTTTTCTATAATGATCTTTTGTTTAAGTCATTATTATTAAACGAGCCGTCCGGTTTGACTGTAGTTTCTTTTTGGTTTTATTTTACAGCATATCAACCACAATGGGTTATTTAATGTCGACAAGATTTTTATTGCCGGTAATATTTTTGTTCAAAAATCTATAGCTGGTAATAATGATTTGCTGGAAATAATTTTTCCTCGAAAATTCATTGCTAGTAATATTTTTTTACAAAAATCTATTGTTGATATTAAAACCTATTTTTACACTTTCATAGTGTTTTAACCCCAGTTTGGGGTTAACGATTTGCCCATAGCTGTGACCCTAACAAATACTACTACCCCGGATCAGGGTGGACCTGGGAACACCAGCAAATAACAGGTGGTTCCATGCCCCACAAAACCTCCTGACCAGAGTCTTTGCTGTCGGGTGTAGTTTATCGTTTTACTCAGGAAAGAGTTTAACACGCGACACAAGAGCAAAAGAGAGAG